TAGTTGGGAGCAGGTCTGCTTCAGCCCTGTGGGGCTGCCAGCTCCCAGCCCACCATCGGCAGCCTTGCACGGGGCCAGAAGAGGCAGTTGAGGGAAGAAAGGGGGGCTGGGAGGACCTGGCTTCTGCACCTGGCTACCACTTCCAGCCCCATGCGAGGCTGCCAGCGCCCCATGCGGGATGGGAGCTGGCAGCCAGGATGGGGCCGTAAGCAGCCCCAGCCTGCGGCTCCCCCACTTGTCCCCATTTAATCAGTTAACTGATTAAACTTTTTACTGGTTAACGATTTAAATGAGATTTTATGTCCCTAAATATAACATAATGAATTATAATGATCTAAAAACAATAAGGAGTCCTGTGGCACCGTAGAGTATCATGAGTGTTCATGGGAAAAACCCACTTCTTCAGATGAGGTTGAGTGGAGAAAAAACGGGGAGCTCTCAGAATTTATAACAGAAAAAGAAGGGAAGCACCTGTCCATCGCAGTGCCGGTGATAAGGAGGCTAATTGCGTGCGCAGGAAGTGTCCCATACTTACATACATTTTGATGTCAATGATGTTGAATGTAAGGAAAGCTGGTTTTATAATGGACCATCCAGTTCAAAAGCTTCAGGGGGTAGCCGAGTTAGTCTGTACAGGATAAACAGAAAAAACAACAAATGGTCTGGTAGCACTTTATAGATGAATAAAACATGTAGATGGTATCAGGTGGGTATCAAGTGTACCCATGAAAGCTCATGATACCATCTACATGTTTTGTTAGTCTATAAAGTGCTACCAGACCATTTGTTGTTTTTTAAGCTCATCCAGTTCAAGTCTTTGTTCAGGCCAAAGGAAACAGTGTCAAAATATCTAATTAAATCTAATTATCTAAGTAAATCAACCAAAGGCAGAGGGAGAAATCACTCCTTCCCACCACTCAAACCTCATAACCAAAGTCCCTTCCCCCAGATTACAGCTCAGTAGAAAGCATTACTGCTCTGTGTTGCCATCTAGTGATACGGATTTGTGAACATCTCAGAGAAGCTGCCATAGTAACTCCCATGTCGACTTCTCTCCTCTTTTGTTCTTGTTGTCTTGCATGGATGTTGATGGCCTCTGGCATTGGAACAGCCCTTGCTGGGAAATGACTTGGATTCAGAGTTGTAATGTTTTTACAGGGAGGCATGTTTGAGGGACTGCCCTGGGCCAAAAGATGGTGGCAGAGAAGGAAACTGACAGAACAAGGGAGCACATGGGTACATCAAGGAAGTGCCAGAGACCTCTTGTAAACGGCATGGCCAGTTGTAGTATTTGGAAGATTGGGATATATTTCTGAGATGGGTGTTAAAGGAGAGGGGAGTGACGTCCTCACTCTGACTTCATTCATCACATTAAATTTCCATTGACTGCAGAGGGAGTTTTGCGTGAGAAGACTGGAGCTGACCTGAACTTCCATGATCTTTTGGTTGTTGTCAGTTTCAGTGGAAATGGTTCTCATAAACTTGTGACAAGAGAGAGCGAGCAGGAAGACGATTTAAAAATGTTCCTGCCATGATGGAAACCCAGTCACTTTTATGATAGGTCCAGTAATGTACAAAGTCCTCAGGATTAGTGCTAGGTGCTGTACATACATATGGTGACAGAGGAAAGTCCTGCTCGGAAGATTTTACTATTAACATTGACTAGGCAGAGGATGGGTTAATATTTGTGTGTCACAAACAGGGAATGGAAACAACTCTGTGAGGTCACACCATGAGTCTGCAACAGTGGCAAGAATTGAATCCTGCTCTCCTAAGTACTAAACCACTACTTTAACCACAAGGACAGTCCCCCTCTAGTGGGCTCTCACAAGCCCACCAAAATGAAACTGACTAAAACCAAGAGTGAAACCAGCCAGATTCATTTCATTGTGCCAGCTTATAAGAAATGGAGAGAAATTCAAAGTAAAGATCATAACCAGTGAGGAGTACATGCAGGTTAATATTCTTGCAGCTTCCATAACCTGTGGTCTTCATCATACAGGGGAGAACACTGATTTTTAACACAGCAGGGACTAGCCAATTCTTTGGGCTAATGAATAAGGGTTGGGGCCAACTGAAGAGTAGCCCATAGTGAGCCCTTCCAAAGAGGTAAAATTAAGGCACCGGCATCACAAAATGTACTTTGCTCTTTTCTCTTGATCTGTCTTTAATTATTTATGTTAATAGTTCACAGCATACTAGCAAATGGGCTTCATTAGGCTTTGGATCACATTTTCAAGGAATAATAATATCTCAAGTCTTCATCCTGCCCTTGTAGGTCAGGAACACCTTCCTTGAGATGATACCAGTATAAAAACAGCACGCATGAGATGATGATGATTACTGGTTTGTATTGCAGAAGTGCAAGAAGCAACTTGTTCAAGTAGCAAATTAGTGGAAGAATTTGAACTAGAACCAAGGTTTTTTCTATCAGCATTCATCCCTGGACCACACAGCCCTTTGCCAAGCCTGATACGTGGGACTTATGGTTATAATTAGTCATTTTGTAGTTAACCCAGATTCTACCTTTTCTGGTCCAAATCCTAGGCACTGAGCAATTTGGCTGGGTGATTTGCAGTTGGCAGTATTCCTGTAAAATTCAGTGTAATAATATGGCAAAGCAGCAGGTGCAATACAAAGGAAAGGCTGGAAACATGGAATCTTGTAGCGGTGCGTCAGGAAAGTAGGCATTTTGACTGGGAGGCCCAATTACAGCATGACTAGTTTATGTGCTGTCAGGAGTCTGCTGCACCCTGACACCCGTAACTGGAAGAATAAAATGGCTAAGTGCTAATGCCCCCAGCTGTATCATGGGAAACAGTGCACCATGTGAAAATTGGTGGCTTTTACAGTGAGGGAACAACAGAACAGTTCAGGGGAGAAACAGGGCTGTGATTAAGGCAAGAACATGAAATGGGGAGGCAGGACTCCTATGTAAGGGCGTGGCAGTCTAGAGCCCCTAACTCAGGGTAGGCAATAATTTTTGCAGGAGGCCACTTAATGAATTTTGGTACCGGTCATGGGCTGGCTCCACCACCACCCTCCAAAAGGGGTGGGAACTGAGATAGAAGGGGTGGGTCGGGGCTGGGAACTAGCCTCCTTCCAAAGTTATCTTTGAAGTAAAAACACAGCTAAGGGCTCGCATTTCCCGGCCCCGCTGCTACCAAGTTTCCTGGCAGGTGCCCAGGAATGCTGCAGCTATTTAAAAGGCTGCCACTCCAGCCCCTGCCAGGGTAACCATTTAAATAGGATCCTGCTGGCTGAGCCACTGTCTACAAATTCGGCAGCAGAAAATAAATTGAAAATGGCCACACGTGGTCCATGGGCCAGATCAAAGCGTTAAGGCGGGCTGGATCCGCATTTTGCACAGCTCTGCCTAAACTGAATCCCTGGCACCTCTCGCCACGCTTGGCATTGGGATCAGCAGCCACTCTGGGAGGAAAGCACCCACTTCTCTGAGCCGCCTGCCCCGTTCTCTGCACCCTAGAACCCAGAGCAATGCCCTGGGACAAGCAGTGACTCTGAGAACAGAGTGTTCCCCTACAGAGCTTCTCCCCCTTCTCCCTACTCTGCAATAAGGGACTAATTCCAAGGGGAGACCACCCTTTGCTGAGTGCAAGGCAATTAACTACAAATCCCAGCATGCCCTACAGCGCCCCCTGCTGTTCAGGACTGAGAAAGCGTCTCGCTTGGCATTGTGGGAGTCGTAGTCCATCTGCCCTAGAGCACTCTGGGTCCTGATTTGGCGATTAACTAACACTCCTGGCACGCATTGCGTCAGGTCCCGCTCTCACAGCCAATGAAGAGTTCACCCAGGTGCATTGTGGGCGTTGCCGTCCACCCACAGCAATGCACCATGGGAGTTGTAGTCCTGCCTGGGGGAACGCCGGCTCTGTAGCAACGATAATGAAGGGTGGAGGGAGGGAGGTGGGGGGCATTATTTGCAATGCATTATGGGAATAACCGTCATTGGAGTCTGGGAAAGCTATTAAATCCCTACGGGCCCGGGGCACTCTGGGAGTGGCTATGGAACGCCGCGGAGTCACCACATGACTACAAATCCCAGCATGCGCCGCTTCCGCTCCCGGTGGGCGTCAAGGGCCTTTTGCCGCGGTGCACTCTAGGATTGGTAACCGTACTAGCCAGAAGAAGCCCGTTAACCGCCTTTGGGCCGCGGTGCGTTCTGGGATGTCTTCCTGGAAGGCGGGGGAAGGGGATGAGGCTCCCCCACCCACCGACGGCCGCGGTGCACGCTGGGAGTGGTCGCCCCGCCTTTGGGACTCCACTTCCCGACGTGCAGCGCGGCGGCGCCGGGGCG